GTTACCTAAAGGCTCACAATGAGGAGGCTAAAAAGCTAATTCCAATGTAACCCTGATATTTGGGGGGCTAGCAATCAGAATCCATGCCAGCCAGCCCAGTATACATTCTTGATAACCTATAATTAAGTCATTACTTCTTTCCCAGAAACTGGTCTTGCAGAACCTGTTACAGAGGCCATAAAACTGTGAACAGTGAGCTGCCCTGGAGGGAGGATTATTAACGCTGGCGCCAGGCTAAACCATCAGATATGGCCTGGAGATCCCCAACACCTAGGGGCCTTCTTGAAAGGCCCATGAAAAGGACCAGAAGCATAATCCATATTTGCAATACAAAGACCACAGGGAGATATAAAGGAGAAACCCCCTGCATGTTAATTTACTCAGATTTGGAAAGTTAGTCCCTGAGTTGCTGGCGTAAATAAACAGTGTCACTCCTTATCTCTAAAGCATCGGCTTGGTTTCCTTTGGTCTTCTGCAACATTTCACAGAGGCCATAAACCATGACACAACCCCCAGAGGGGGGTTATCAGTGCTGGTGCCAGGCCAGATCCTTAGATATGATCTCAAGACCCCCATCCCAGCCCATGGGGCTTTTTGCAAAGCCTGCAAAAGGTCCGGAAGTATAATCCATATTTGGGGAAAAAGACACCAAAAGGGGATATAAGAGGGGCTTCCACCATACTGGTTTGCTCAGATTTTGGAGGTGACTCCGCTGAGACCACCAGTGTAATAAAGCTGTGTAACTCCATTTCTCTAAGCATCACTTGGGTTTCTTCAGTCTTCTACAACACCTCTAGTGGAGTGTTCCCTCTGTGGGGCGGGCTCCTTAGCGGCGATAGGCATTTTCAGAGGCCAGGGCAGGTCTGAAACTGATCATCTGCTACCACCTCTCCATGACCCGTGGTAAATGACAGCAGCTAAAGTTCAGTCCAGTATTTTAGGATAAAAAAACTGGCAGGAGATAGTCTCCTGATCCATCTGAAAAGGAACCATTAGCTGTTCCATATACCCTGAAACCTCTCTGACCACCCCCCCGCCCCCCCCCCCCACCCTCCCAAACTGTGAAGGCACGAAGGCACTATTAGCTCATTCCCAAATCCTGCAACCTCCCTGACCCCTGCAAACCATGAAGGCCCCTCTGCAGTGCTGACTTTCTGGACTCCAGCAATCACAGGATGACTGCCTCAAACCATCCAGCCTGCCCCACCCCCATCCTGTGGGCTCCTTTGCTGTGGGTACAGACCTCACACCCCAGAAGGGGCCCCCTAGAAAACATCCTCAGGAAACAGAGCCTCCAAAGGCTGACTTTTCAAAATCCGCAGAAACCAGAAGTGGTAATCTAACACTCCTTTCCCATAAGCGGCTGTCACGCTTTGTGTGTGTTTTTGTTTGTATTTTAATTAAATTGACTGGGATGACATTGGTCAACATGAACATGTACTTGTAACACAGAAATCTGCACTCACTTTTGCCCAAACACAATGGTCCTCATTAGCTTTCACTCAGGCCTTTGAACTTCATACAAAGTCCCTCCCTCCCCTGGCTGCCTGCTGCAGCCTGCCCCTTATTCTTGGTTCCTTTCTGGTCTATTTTTAAGGTCTATATAATGGAGCCTTTTTGCTGCTCCTTACTCACCCCTCTGTGAAGTGAAGTCTCAGTCTAGGAAGATATTCTCTGCTTTAAACACCAACAGCTCTTTTTTAATGCCTGAGGGTAAACTCCAGAATTTTAACTAGAAGAAATACATATGCTAGTATTGTTCTTCATTTTGGGGGGGGAACACCACACACACACAACACACACACACACACACACACAGCAGCAGCAGCAGCAGCAGCAGGTGGGAGAACCTGGGATGAACATGCGGCTGTGAGACAAGCTATGGCAGGAAGCTGAACTACAGGATTCTCAGTGATATTTTCTTTGGGGAGAGGTGAGAAGTTAGGGATACTGTTATTGATGAGTTGAATTGTATCCACCAGGTATCTTATGGTGGTGTCCCAACTCCCAATACCTGGGAATATGACCTTATTTGGAGATAGGGATAATTACTATAAATGAGGTCATTAGAGTTTGCCTCAATCCAGTATGACTAAAGTTGAGGAAACTGGGTCACAGACATGCACACAGAAGAACACCACATGAAGATTAAGGCAGGTGCTAGCCAGTTTTGCTCAGTGGATAGAGCATCGGTCTGGGGACTGAAGGGTCCTGGGTTCAATTCTGGTCAAGGGCATATGCCTGGGTTGCTGGCTCAATCCCCAGTAGGGGGCATGCAGGAGGCAGCTGATCAATGATTCCCTTTCATCATTGATGATTCTCTCTCTCTCTCCCTCTCCCTTCCTCTCTGAAATTTATATATATATATATATATATATATATATATATATATATATATATATATATATATATATATATTAAACTAGAGTCCCTGTGCATGAAAATTCGTGCATTGGAGGGGGGAGTGGTCCCTCAGCCTGGCCTGCTCACAGTCCAGGAGCCCTCAGGGGTGAGAGACAACCCAGCCATTGGGGAAGGCAATGCCCCCATCACACTTCTGCTGCTGCCACTGCCAGCAGCATAAGCCTCAGCTGGCCCTGCTTACCTGAGCCTCGGGTGGCCCTGGGCGGCTGGGCAGCCACCATCCATGGCTTGCCTGTACCTCAGGTGTCAGTTGGGCAGCTGACATCCGAGGCTTTCCTGTGCCTCTGGTCAGCCCTGGGTGGCTGGGGGGCTGAGGGCAGGTCCGGCTGCACAGTGGGCCTGCCACCCCCATCAGGGCTGAAAGAACTGGGGGACTATAGCAGGGCTGAGGGGACTGGGTGCCACCATCTTGTGGCTATGGGTGCCGTCATCTTTATGACAGTGTGACAGTCAATTTGCATATTCTGTCTTTATTAGATAGGATTTTTAAAAAAGACTAAGGCAGGAGTCCTGGTGATGTTTCTATACACCAAGGAATGCCAAAGTTTGCCAGCGTTAGGGGGGAGGGAAGAACGGATTCTTCCCCCAGCCCTCAGAGGGAACCAGTCCTGTGGACACCTTCCTCTCAGACTGCCAGCCTCCAGAACTCTGAGACAACAACTGTTCGTTATTTGAGCTGCCCAGTGTGTGGTTTTCTGTTATAAATACAGATATTGAGAGATTGTAGATTCCTGTGCCTAGTTATAACCCCACCCCACTTTGCTGCTGGCTTTCAGAGATAATTATTCTTATGTTGTTTCGTTTCATGTTGTCCCATAGCTACCTTAGGCTCTCTTCCTGTCTTTTAATTTTTTTCTCCACTTTCAGTTCAGTTTGGGTGTGTTCTGCTTCCCTGTCTTCTAATTTGCTAATTAGAAGGTCCTCTGCTTCTCCTAGTCTACTGTTGAAACTTTCAATGGTGTTTTTTATTGCAGCTATATCACTCTTCATTTCTTCTTGGTTCTTACATAATTTATTGATTTTTTTCATCTGTTTCTTCTTGCTTCTTGCATAAGTTGTTGATTTTTTCCTCCATCCGGTTTATGCATTCTAGGACCCTTAATCTGAATTTTTTTCTGTCATGCTGCATGCCTCGGTTTCACTTAGCTGCTTTTCTGGCGAGTCCTCCTTTTCTTTCCTTTGGGGGTTTCTTTTTCTACCCATGTTTGATCTCACTGGCATATCTAGATGTTGAGTCGTTCAGTGGTTGCTCCCTGGGTGGCAGTGGCTCCTCGGGCTGCAGTTGCTCCTTGGGCGGTTGTGGTAGCAGCTGGTCCTCAGTTGGCAGCAGCTCCTGTGGTGGGTGCTGTTCACCACTGTGGTGGCTCCTCTGGCTAGTGGGCGGAGGCTTCACACACAGCTGCTGTTCCTCAGACAGAGGGTGTGGTGATTAGGAGCCTGCTGTTCCTTGGATGGGGGCAGGCTACACAAGCCACATGGTCTTTCTTTTGTGTGCAAGCATCCTGGCATTTCTTTTCTTGTTCACGTTTCCTCTTCTTATAACACCAGTCAGACTGAATCAGGGCATAGCCTAATAGCCTTGTTTTAACTTAACCACTTCTTTAAAGGCCCTATCTCTACATACAGTTATATTCTAAGGTATGGGGGTTAGGGTTTCAACATATAAATTTGGGGAGCACACATTTATCATGTCCTTCTCACATGAAAAATACATTAACCTCCATCTCAACAGCCTTAAAGTCTTAATGCTAAGCACCAATAAGTCCCAAATCTTACCTAAATATTTAAATCAAATGTGGCTAAAACTCAAGATATAATACATTTTGAGGCAAAATTCCTACTCAGCTGTGAACATGTGAAATCAAAGTTATCTTCTTCCAAAATACAGTGGTGGTACAAGCAGAGAATAGACATTCCAATCTGAGAGTGAGAAATGAGAAAGAAGAAAAAGGTCACAGGTCCCAAGCAAGTCCAAAACCTACCAGGAAAAACTTTATTCTATTTTAAGATTAGAAAATAATTATCTTTGGCTGGATGCTCTTGCTGAGTGAGTTTCCTTCCACGCCCCGCGTGGAGTAGGGTTCGGTATCTGAAAGAGAGGCCGCACACAAATAAATGAGAGAGAAATGACACGAGATAATTTTGCAATATTGGGGGACCAGGAGGGCAAGTCAGGAAGGACTTCCACCGATGCTCAGGCCGCTCCAATCTTGTATTGATCTGGAGTAGCCCTTAGGGTAAGGAGGTTTCAATGACACACAGATCAGCAAACAATTTCCAGGAATATACAGAGTTCTGATTAGCTCATCAGTAGACAATTTCCAGGAATAGGCAGAGTATCTGATCAACAATAATCAACAAGGATCTACACAAGTATCTAAGGAATTAAGTGAACTAAGGTGGGGATGATGCTTCAAGTACCATTACCTAAATTAACTGGGTGGTTCCTAAATTAACTGGGTGGTGCACAGTCCTGACCTTTGCTAGGACTTCAAAGGTTACTAACTTTTGGGGGTCTCTGTCTAAACTCAGCTAGTGAAGACAATGAATGGACTCCGGCATTCTCTGTCCTCCAGGCCCACCTGGTAATGGCCCTGCCCTTGAAGCAGCAACATTGCCCCCAAGGTCCTGGATGGAAGCCACATTCCTGAGTCCCTGGGGAGCAGCAGCTTGGCTGAGGAGTTGGCCCTGCTTTCTAGAACTGAAGAGGAAGCAGCCTTGCTTTCTGGATTATTCTCCCCACTTTTTGAAGGATAATGTATGTTCACAGCCAATAGCTCTATTGTCTTGTTCTGTAGCATTTCAGAAGTTCAACAATTTTACTTCATTTCAACTCTTCTCTCTTCCTTTCAGTTCAAGCTGGTAACATTTTTGCTGATTCGGTTGATTGGATCCATTGTGTCTGTTTGGCCAATAGTGTTATTCAAAGTCTACCATCTTTGTCAAATTATCTGTCTGGTTGTTGTATCCATTATTCATAATGAAGTATTGAACTCCTCTACTATTATTGAATTGCTATTTCTCCTGTATGTTCTGCCAACACAAGTGAATTTATTGTAAATAGTATATAGCCAGACATTGTGTATTTAATCTATTCAGTCGCTCTATTTTTAACTAGGGAGTTTAACCCATTTACATTTAATATAATTATTGATAGGAAAGGATTTACTATTGCCAATTTTTTGTTTTGTCTTATAGTTCTGTTGTTTTTCTTTTCTTTCTTTGCTATCTAATTTTGTGTGTGTGTTTTTATGATATGCTTTGATTTATGTCTCTGTTTCTCTTGTGTAATGTCCTATGTATTATTTTTTTAGTTAGCACAGGGCTTACATAAAATGTCTTATAGTTAAAAACAGTCTATTTTAAGCTGACAAGACTTCAATTGCATACAAAAACTTTACACGTTTACTCCCCCCACCCCTATTTTTTGTATTGATGCCACAATTTACATCTATTTGTACTGTGTACCCATTAAAATTTATTATTTATAGTTATTTTTAATACTTTTATCTTTTGACTTTTATACTAGAATTAAAAGTGACTTATCATCATTACTATAATGCAATATTCTGCATGTGTCTATACACTTATCTTTATCAACAAGTTTTATACTTTCCTATGCTATCATGTTACCCTTTAATATCCTTTTATTTCAACTTGAAGAACTCCCTTTAGCATTTCCAGTAAGGCAGGACTAGGGGTAATGAACTCCCTCAGCTTTCGTTTTTCATTTCTTCATTTTTGTATAACAGTTTTGCTGAGTATTGCACTCTTATTTCTCAGGTGGTTTTATTTCTCCTCAGCACTCTGAATATACTGTGTCACTCACTCCCTCTGGCCTGCAAAGTTTCTGCTGAGAAGTCTGCTGGAAGTCTTATAGGAGTTCCCTTGTACATAACAAGTTGATTTATTTTTTCTTGATGCTTCTAAGATTATCTCCTTGTCTTTAACTTTTGAAAATCTCTCTATAGCCCTATCCAGTTTGGCTCAGTGGATAGAGCATCAGCCTGCAGACTAAAGGGTCCCAGGTTCGATTCTGGTCAAGAGCATGTACCTTGATTGCAGGCACATCCCCAGTAGGGGGCATGCAGAAGGCAGCTGATCGATGTTTCTAACTCTCTATCCCTTTCCCTTCCTCTTTGTGAAAAATCAATAAAATATATTTTTTTTAAAATCTCTCTATATAAAAGCCTAAGCAACTGTTCAACTGATGCACACTGACCACCAGGGGCAGATGCTCAATGCAGGAGCTTCCCCCTGGTGGTCAGTGTGCTCCCACAGCCAGAGCAATGCTCAGCTGATCAAAGGGCACCAGATGCAGGGCTCATGGCTGGCAAGTGCAGCTGCGCCAGTGCGAGCCTCTCCCATGAACACTCCCCCTTCGCGCCCCTCCCCCATCTGGACCAGGGCTGGGATCAGGACCAGCATTGGGACTGACTGGGCACGAGCCCATGGCCACTTCTCGATCATGGGTGTGCTGGTATCACCCTAGGACGGGCACACAGAGACCACAGCAGAGCAGCAGTGAACCTACCAAGGCGCCAAGAAGCGGGGCTGAGCGGGAGCAGTGTGGCACCCAGCTGGGGCTCAGGGTCCTCCCCCACCGCCTGCCGCTTTGTGCATTACTACATCCCTTGAGAGATGTTGGACTGCGGTTTCAGCCTAATTCCCGCAGGCCACACTGAGGGACCCCACCGGTGCACAATTCCGTGCACCAGGCCTGTAGTTTAATTATAATGTGTCCAACTGTGGATCTCTTATCTTCATCTTATTTCTCTTATCTAGAGATCTCTTAGTTTCCTGGATGTGGAGTGATCTTGTCAGGACTTTCAACATAGATAAAAACACACGCAACCCAAAAAGATAGAATCAATAGGGTCAAATGGAAAACATATTTTTGAGAGGGAGAAAAATGAAGCAAAACATTACCCATTTTACAATTTGGCCACAGACTGGCCTACAATTCAAAACTGTTCTACAGTGATGAAAACCAAGACACTATGAGTAAATCTAGAATTCAATTAATAGCACTCCTGCATCACTGAAGAAAAAATAAGTACAGTATTATCTTCATTTACACATCAAAAGAAGAACAAAAAGTTTTTCTCCTAAAAGTTATTTTAAAATTTGTGAGCATCCAGGCTTTGCTTTTAAATTGAAAAAAAAAAAAAATTAAGTTAAAACATTAATGTTAAATTTTTTCCACAAAAAAAGAATAACTCAGGAAAAAGAAGTAGAGAGAGAGAGAGAGAGAGAGAGAGAGAGAGAGAGAGAGAGAGAGAGAATATACAGTTTGGAGGGTAGAAGAGAGGCAGTTACGTGTGGATGGATTTGCTACCCTGCTCCTGGGTCCCCTAGAGCAGGAAAAGTTCCAAGAACAGACATTGCATTGGGAGCCTTTTACTAGCATTCTTTCCTACTAACTGTGCCCTTTTCAAATTATAGGCAATTTAGTTGTTTAACTATTTAGCAATGTTCTGATTCCTTTTGATTTCTGGATTATATAACAGCAAACCAAAGAAAATGGCCAACGGAAGGAAATTAATACGTCTTTCTTCACATTATGGCAGGTGTATTCATTAAGTTAAATATTTGGAACTGAGAAACTGTTTGATGAAAGTGAAGCTGCAATTAGAAAACTGAATGCCCCAGAAAGACTCACTGATCTCTCCGACAGGTTTTCCAAAGTGATATGTTTTCAGCAGAATGAATCATACATGTTTGTATGATCGCTGGTCAAAGGAAGGCTGCTGTGGATAAAAGAAATGTTGCTTTGCATTCTTCCAGTATGATCAGTGAGAATGCCCCTGAATTCAGACTAGAGAAATGTTTATTCCTGGTGCCAACAACACTGATATATGACTTTGTTTTGCAGTCACACTTGGGTCACCTTTCCTGCTATTGGGAACTTTGTTTTCCACATGAGGGATAAAGAACAAAATTACTTAATTGAGATTATATACAGGCCATTATCTTTAGCATAATCACTTTTGATCTGAGTGAAATCTATAAAAAATGTAAGTAAAAACTGTATATGCATAAAAATGTAAAATGATTTTTTTCAAGCAGAAAACACAAGGTTATGACCATAATGTAGAAGACAGAGTAGTAAAGTAATAACCCAAAAGCAGGCACCAACTCCGTATCTGGCTTGATTTATAGAAAGTTATCTTGATTTAGGCACTTTTCCAATTTATATAATACTTTCTCATATGTAATCTCTGCTGGGAAGATTTTCTAATATTTTTTACTTTTAGTTTATAACAAATATCTATTAGTTGTCTTCTTTGTAAGCCCTAACGAAATAAACTGAAATGTAAAGAAGAAATATATAGAAATGAACCTCTACCACACTACTCTAGCCTATGGGCTAAAGTTAACATCATCAGTACAGAGACAAGTCAATATCTTGTGCCTCATGATGTACTAAAAACACAGCAACACTTCAGTGATTTTCCTGCCAAAGACGAATAATCTGAATCTAATGGTGAGACAACATCAGACAAACCCAAATTGAGGGACATTCTGTTACAGAACAAAAAGAGTTCATCCATCAGATCTAATAGAAGCAAACACTAGACACCATGAATTGCCTGGAGAAATATTGGCTACTTTATTAATGAACTAGAGGCCCGGCCTGCCCCCAGCCTACCCCCTCTCACAGTCCGGGGAGTGGGCCTAAACTGCAGTCTGGCCTCCCTCTGCAGGCTGAACAGGGGAAGGTGCCACCCCCATCACCCCAATGCTGCTGCCACTGCCGGCCACCAAGGTGTTTTCATCAACATGGACACCAGTCCCTTCACCACAAAAAAATGATAACTTTCTTTAGGCATTTTCAAGGTGTCTCTTTCATAGGATATGATCTTTCTTTCTTTCTTTCTTTCTTTCTTTCTTTCTTTCTTTCTTTCCTTTTTTCTTTTTTATCCTCACCTGAGGATATTTTTTCATTGATTTTCAGAGAGCGTGGAAGAGAGAGGGAAAAACAGAGAGAAAAATCAATATGAGAGGAACACTTCGATTGGTTGCCTCCTGCATGAGTCCTGACCTGGGCCCAGGCCAGGGAGGGGCCTGCAACCTAGGTGCATGCCTTTGATCAGAATCGAACTGGACCCTGCAGTCCACAGGCTGAGGCTCTATCCACTGAGCCAAACTGGCTAGGTCAGGATATGACATTTCTTAGCCCCTCTAGCAGCGGACCTTCATTTTTTGCCCCCAGGAGTGTGGTGGAAAAACCCTAGATCACTTTTTTGGATTCTTATTACCAAAGTTATCAAGACCACTGAGAGTGGTGTACAGGGAGCTTAGCCAATGAGCTGTAAGAAAAGGTGTTTCCTCTGCAGCTCACAGGCAGAGGTGAGCCTGCTGGGGGCTGTCACCCAGTAGCGGCAGCCTGGGCACGATCCCCTGCCTCTCAGCTCCTGCTCCCTCTGCGGACCTGCTCTTCCCTGAAGCACTGGCAGGCTCTGCTTCCTGTTCCCTGTGGGCCCTGCTCTGCCCTGCTGTCTGTGGACCTGACTGGCTGTGGTGACTGCTTTCAGTTCTCTGTGGGCCCTGCTTCCTGTTCTGTCTGGACTTGATCATCACCACAATGACTGGCAGGTCCTGCTTCCTGTTTTCTGTGGGCCCTGCTCCACCCTGCTCTCTGTGGACCTGATTGTGGCTGTGGCAACTGCTTCCTGTTCTCTGTGGGCCCTGCTCCGCCCTGCTCTCTACCCCTGCGGCAACTGGCAGGCCCTGCTCCACCCTGCTCTCTGTGGACCTGCTGGTTGCCTGTGCTATCCATGGCTTGCCTCACCACACAGCAGTCCCCTCCCCCCCCCCACCCCCATCTGCATGCACAGCCTATAAAGAGGTAATATGCAAATTTCTTCGGTCATGACCATTACAGAGTCCCAGACAAATTTTCATATTACCATATATATATGGTCCCCTGTCAAGTATATATATATACACACACTAGTGGCACAGTGCATGAAATTTGTGCACATTAAAAGAGAATTAATGAGAAATATTTTAATATTGCTATTTGCCCTTTCTCTATAATAGAAGTGTCAGAGATGAAAGAAAATTAGTAAAATGTATATAAAATCTCCCTCCTGTCAGAGTCTGGAGCGTACTGCAGGACCTAGAGTCAAGTCCCCACCCACCACCCTCATGCGCTTGGAAAATGCAGGAGCCCAGACCCGGCCAGCCCCACCCCCATTGGGTGAGACCTAGACCTGGACAGCCCCACCCCCGTCAAGCCCCTCTGGGTGGGGGGCACAGCCTTAGGTCCCCTGGCCTGGCACCAGGGCAGCTGGGAAGGGGGGGTGCAGCCTGAGGTCCCCCGTCAAGCCCTGCCAGGTGAGGGGTGTGGCCTGAGGTCCCCCGTCAAGCCCCACCAGGCAGGGGGCACAGCCTGGCCCTGCCCATAGACTGGTACACCATCATGGACAAATTAGCATATTCCCTCTTTATTAAA